TAAACCGAGGCTTTCAAGATTTTAATCAACTGTTCTGACTGAATTGTGACCTCCTCTGAGGTTGTGCTGGAGGCCCACAGATAAGCAGGTTATTCTAGGATGTGTAGAGCATAATGTTTGTGATAGAGTCTCATGACTGATAGTTCCGTGTAAATAAGACGTGTTCAAATCAAAACCACCATGCCAGTAGACATATCTACCATATTCTGAAGATCATCACAAAATACATCAAAACATAAAAATATTAAATGTGTCTTCCTCTGCCTTGATGCAGCAACACTCACACCCTCGATGCTTCATGTGTCTGTAACTATATGAGACTCTATTAACATGGATATTATTATCAAAAAAGATAATGTCATACTGTCTTTTTGCTACAGGTAACTACAGGTAATTTACAATAAAAGAAATTTGTACAATTAGAAGTTTACAATAAATTATTGTTTCATGTTTGTACTCTAATTATAAGTTATTGTCATTTTTATTATTATACACACAGGTCTAATTGATGGGAATGATGTCACCCAGACCTCCATGCTGTGGAGCAACCAGAGTGACATACACATGTAGAGGGCATTACCTACAACCAGATGCACCTGTACAGACAGCTGCTAAGAGAAGTAACAAAACTAAATACAGTGTATGTTTATACACAAAAGAACAAGAATATGAACCAGAAGTCAACAAGGACATATTCCCCCTGTGAGCACCAGGGTGGACATTCACAGCGAAGACTGTTGGCACACCTCGATCCCTCCATCTCATGCACTGTAGGGGGACCTCAAGCACCACAAATACTCCCAGTTACACTTTGATTCACTGTGTGGATTTCGATTCGTCAGCTCACAGAATCAGACAGTGTCACACACTGCGGAGACACACCTACTCTCTATACCTCTGTAAATAAACTGACAGACTCATATGAGACTTTGAGAGTTTTAGAACATGGACATTATCAAACATGGTCTCCTCAGCTTGTTGGTATTTCTGCTCTGGCTTAAAGGTGAATTTCCTTCTGAGCTCATCGGTTTACAGTGTTAAACTATTATTTTAGAGATGTGGTGTGTTTTAAAACTGTTAACCTAACTGTCATACACACAGGTCTAATTGATGGGAGCGATGTCACCCAGACTGACACACTGTGGAAAAACGAAAGAGATAGTGCAACAATAGACTGCAGACACACAAAGGGTGTCCACTACTACCAGATGTACTGGTACAGACAGCTACCAGGAGAGGGGATGAAGCAAATAGTTTTCACCACTACAACTCCACCACATAAATATGAAAGTGGCTTCAGCGAGGACAAGTTTCCAGCGCAGAAGAACGACCCTCAGACTGGATCTTTGACAGTGGAGAAGCTGCTGCCTGAGGACAGTGGAGTGTATTTTTGTGCTGTGAGTCAACACAGTGATACAGGTGACTGAGA